CTGATTCTTGGGCGCATGCGGACCCGTAGTTGGGGCGTCACGGAGTGGGATTGGTTTCGAGTCAGCTTGATGCTCATAGATGATCATAGATGTATAGATTATTTGTTTCCTTCCCCTCCAAGTGACTTGGTAACTCACCTTTGCCATACAGTTTGGTGGATCTCACCACGACATACAGCAGCTACCGATCCTGAAAAAGCATGCTAGATTTTTTCAGGCCAGGCTTTCAAGTCCTCCAAGGCACTTGGCAGAGATGTACTGCTTGGGCGAGCTTGGGCTTGAGACCAACTACGAAGCAGCTGAAGAGCCCCTCGAAGAGGTGGTATACGAGTGGGTCCAGTGGTGACTTGTGGACCATGAATTGATGGACTTGTGAATCTGTATGACATTGTATGGTTACTATATATGGTTGATGATATATGATGCCCGTGAACACCTGCGGACGTGTCTCTCGGATGTGTATACAAAGGTCTCCAAAGCCTTTGACCATGGCCATGAGAGCGAAGACCTCCTACGCTTGCAACAGAGCTTGTGGCCTTAGGTGGACTAGGGAGACTGTTCGACCGCCGTGTGGACTAGGCAGAGCAATGCAGTTGGTGCATGGTTGTACACGAAAAAGTCTTGGAAAAACCCCAGGCGGTCAGAGCATATCCCCAAGTGATAGCATTATGTCATTATGTGTGTGTGTGTGTGTGTTATTTTTTCTCACTTCTATTGTTTGTGGGTCAGCACTCCTGCCCAAATCAGCGGCCTAACAACCGATGACCACTGCACTAGCTTTGCAATCCCGACACAAAACGGAACTGACAATATCAACGCAGCTTCGCAACCCTGCGTGACCGTTGCCCCGTTTCTTCAAGCAGCAGAACCACAGTTCCGGACGTGCCAAACTGCTTGAAAGGGCAACAAAATCATCTCCAGCCAAGGTAAACCTAACCGGAATTTGTAGGTCAATATGCAGAGGAGCTCCATCAGATGGGTTTTTGCACCACTTGTGTTGAGACCGTGCTCGTTTGAAATTGTTCAATGTGTTTGAGGCAGCTTCTTTGTCTCCAAATCCGTCATACTAGCAGATCCATGCACCATGAAACACTTGGGAAGAACATTCTTCCAGGAGTTCCGATGGGGTGGTTTGTGAAGTTGTGGCTGATTTACCAATAAGTTGATCATTGAAGCTTTGACCCAGTATCACACTCAGGAAGCCTTGCCAAATTCTCCTGTCAACCCAAGCCCACCAGTATTTCAGTCTATGTTCCGCAGGGCTGAAGTCACGGGCGACATGGGGAACTCACCAAAGTGATGTGTTTTGCATGGTCGTGCAAAAGAGTGATGGTTTTACCTTCCAACAGGCCCCCGTGTAGAACACCTTCACTGTTCTAAACCGCCCACTCCCCCAGATGGTGCCTTCATGACTCGAAAATTTCTCACCAAACAGAAGCCAATCCGATCTTGTATCGTTCCAAGGTCTTGATGTATATATAATTCATTTTGAACTCACGGACCTGGTTCCGAGGTCGCAATCCTCCCAACAAACTCCTCGTCGAACGAGGTTCTCGAACACCAAGTCCGGGTTCATGCTCCAAGCGCCGGGACTTCTGTTCTTTGAACAGGTGTCGGATGTGAACGAACATGTGCTTCTTCGGCTGGATCTTGAAGCGTTGGAAGCTTCAATGTTCTGAAAGCATCAGTTGCAGCAACCGCGTGGCATCTTCTAGAATCACAGCCGCGGAAGCTATCAGCGACTGTCGCTCATCTAGGCTTAGCCAAAACCCAAAGCCTGAAAAAAAAATCACATTAGATGCCTTCAAGGCATCGTAAATGGATCGAAAATACACTGCATGTTCATGACAGGGAGAGGCGGCCAACACCTCGCAAGGCTTTTCTTCCAAGTAGAGCGTCATGACAATAGTGTCGGCTCCTTTGAACCAGTTCCATAGTTCCTCACTGGACTGAGCCAAGACCAAAACTACACGTCAAACTATATGCTAAACTATTTCACCCGACCTTATTGCAAAATACAAACATTTTCACTGCGAAGACAAGAAGCTAACATTGGTCGAACTCTGATCGGTCCAGCAGCCCAGCAGCGTTCTACTTTGCCACGTTGCAGCCGTCCTGCCCAATACTCAGCCCTGGAAGGGAAAGATGATGCTGGTTGAAGTTTCGTTTAGGCAATCGGGTTGTGATTTTTCATGGGTCAGCGCGTCGCCCATGCTGCTGCAACCACAGCTGTCTTCCTTGGGAGCAAGTTTGTACCCGTCAGCTGCAATAATAGATGTATGTGCAACTCAGCGTCGCACGCCTCTTGCATTGGCTCAGTATGTCATACGAAAGCTCCGCGGTCCGCGATCGACGCAAAAATCAACTCTTCACACGATCAATTTCCTCAATCTCTCGCATTTTGCGCGAATGTTCTTGGGCTTGGTGTGTTTGGTCCAATATGTCTATCAACACGAACCATGATACGTTCATGATTGCGACAGGTCACGATGCTGAGACATGTTTTGTGGCCGCAACGAAGTATGAACAGGTACCAGCCGATGCGTTCCCAAACACTTCCAAACGCTTCAACTGAACAACAAAGAGAACACACCACCGCTGCTCAAGGTTGCGAAAATTCGCATTCGGCTTCTTATCGGCAATGAGTGGCTGCTGATAACATCATTTGGCGCGGCGCTGTCGGGTGCTGCGTGTGTGATTCATTTGGTGCATTGATGTCGAAATGTGTCACATCACGGGGGGGTGCAGCAGATGGTATCGGTTTTCCACGTTCAACTTCGCCATGTTTGAAATTTGATGACTTGGGAAACCCATCATCATGAATCATCTCAGATTGTGACATTTGTTTGTTGTTTGTTGTTTGCTTTCCTAACCTGAGGCCTCTTCAGCCACCTGGCCGACCGCTCTGAGACAAAACCACGGCTGCAGGAATTCCTCGAAAACCATACGGAGGTCTTCAGACAAGAACTACTGTTTTGACATGCAGCTGTGGCTTGGATGAAAATGATGAGATTCCCTTGTAGGATTGGTGGTTGGTGGGTGTTTTTTAAAAGGCACTGTGTAAAAATCAGCAAACAGATGTAAAAATGGAAAGTATAGGAATGATACGGTTGGTACAGCAAAAACAAACGCCATAAACGGGTTCAGACCACTAGTGTCTACAACATAATCGTTGCTGCTTGCTGTTTGCAACCAAAAATAGTTCATGATTGTGAAAAACATTGGCATTTTGCCCTTTAGACACCACAAAATGCCTTTGGTGCAAGTCCGATATGGCTAGCACATTTGGCCTGGGTGTTCGAAATACAGTTGTTTCTTGCCATATACATTTGGAACACCTGATCCCTCTCTATACATGTCTCACAATCTGTGCCAAAACAATGACAAAGTATAAACATCCCAGTCCTATCCAGTAGACTGTATAGCAGGATCGAAACATATTTATACATCTGGATGGGTAAAGAATTGCCCAACCACAGTCATGTATTTAGGTCTGCTATAGGTGTTTGAGAGGAACATCACCAGAACATCATGCCCTTCCAAAGCTTTCCGATCTGTTTGCAGGCCACCACCGACGCACGGAAGTAGACGGCATGGCCCCTTTGAAGTATTTTTTTGTTAGACCAAACAGCGGTTGAACTCCACTTGGTTGTGATGTCTTTGGAAGGGTGTATTGTCAAACATGGTTCTTTAAGAAAAAGTTGTTGAGCAGTGTTTGTGAGTAGGCGAGGTATATAATCATGGGGTGTTTTTGTACTTCCATGTTAGTAGTTGGGCTGCAGTGGGATTTACTGTAGAGTTTCCCAGACAAAGCACTCGGGGCATCTCAGGGGTATCCTCAATTCATGTATTAATTGAGTGGGGCCCCCACTAGGGCTCCATCCAACGTAGAGGTCATCAAGAATGGTACCAACCCCACATTCCAGGTCTAGCTGCCCTTCACCAGCAGACCGCCGGACGCGGGGCGACGGACGAAAAGGACGCGTTGTGGCATGGGTCACGTGTTCTGCGGGGGCACGTGGAGGGACGGAGAGTACCACTGTCAGTGGTTGCTGGTTTGAGGATGATGTTTTCATACACGTTTGGAGGGTGACCAGTTACCAGTAGTCTCTGACCTCATTCAACGTGTGCTATTGTAATTTAGCCAGAACAATCCTCGATGCTGGTCGTCTCGTCCTTTTTGTGACTATTGAGGAAGCTGCACCAAACAGCTCTTGAGGAAGTAGATGCAAATAGTCAGTGATGGCATCTATATGTACCATGATCACCGCCGATCCTGCAATTCCCAAGCACAGGCAGGACATGGGTTCTTCCGCCATTTTGCCCAGCTGGAAGAGCCAAACCGTTTCGAGGACACCACGACACTCCCGGTGAAACAGAGCGAGACGCGCTGCGTCTCGCTGCACCGGTACCGTAGCACTTGCAGCACGCTGGGTACCGGGCACTTCACCGCAGAAAAACGATGGGACTCGCTATGTTTCGCTCTATCGCATCTCGGGAAGAACATGCACCTTCACAAGCTGGAGCTCCCATCGTGCCGGAGTTCCTGGCATGATGATAGCCCAAAGAGCCAACGTTCACATGTGAGAGATGCTTCGGTGTTCCGCATGACTGCCGAAGTTGAATGGTCCGAGTCGGGTGCTTTCATGAAGAGTACTGGTCCACTGGTCCCATCTCGTCCATGTCGGTGACGCGAGTGTCTCGGGCCACAGGGCCTGGCGCCCTTCGGTTTCAGACCGGGACCACAAAGGGTTTGCCGTCGATCTCCGGTTCGGAGGAGTGTCTCAGGTTCGGAAACGCTCAGGTTCCTGGTGAAAGAATTCCATTTTTGATGGTCCAAATGAGGTCCCAGGTCCCAGATGGTCCCAGGTCAATTTCACATGTATTCTTAGGTTTCTGCTGTAAGTAACGCAAGTAACGCTGGCCTTCTTGCGCTCCAAGCTTGTGAAGCTTCTCATGTTTATATAACCCTTTTGAGCGTCCAAAAATGGTCGACGCAGGTGCAGCGGGAGCAGCTGAGAACCTGTGAGGCCACTCCTCCTGAGATGGAGCCACTTGGAAGCAACACGAAGCTGGGGGACCTTGTTGGTGAAGAGCAGGATTTCTCATCCCTGGAGCTGGTGGAGGCAGCGAATCGGAATCCTTCCGACCCGAAAGGACCAAACTCGATCGGAAGAAAGAGTTGGCTGGATCTCATCATGCAGGTTCTGCAGGTTCCCTAATTACTCCCTATACCCAGTCCCACGGACCAAGTGTCAGAACCCCCAACAAAACTCCTGCGCTTTCGGATAGCTAGAGCAGCTAAAAAAGGAGCTATTGGGTTCTTACTTCAAGTATAGGAAGCAGGTGCCACCTGAATTACTTGACCTTCTCTTGGTGCCGTGCCGGTCGCCGTGCGGTGCTGCCCGGACTGAGGGTCCTCTCGCGGAAGTGCTTTGCCTCGGACTTCAAGCCACCCGGAGGAGAAAGGCATGGTGAGAAGGGCACGGTGATTGAAAGGTGGGAAGGGTTGGTGATGGTCTTTGAGAAAGGAGTCTGTGGTGCTTGGTAATTCTTTCTTGGTTTGAGTGGTGGTTGAGATTTTTGGTAGTGATCTAGAGGTTGAGATGGATTGAGATTTTTGGTACTGATCGTTACTGCCGATCGGTTGAGATCGCTGATGATTTGGTTTGGATGGATTGGGATGAGTCGAAGGGAGATGATGTTAGGGGTCACTTTTGAGGGCCTGACATTTGTGGTGCTGCTGGTGATGCTGCAATGATAAGTAGATAGACATTATGTAAAACATGTAATTGCAGCATATAATAGACCATCATATATATATATATAACTCTTGATCGTTGCGCTGATTTGATGGGAATGCAGCCCATCATGCCCATCCCTTGTTTTCCTCTGACTACGAGCTCGTACTGCAACCTCTACAATTACCTGGAAACCATCCCCATTTTAGATCATAATATTGGGATATATTGTGCATATGATGTTCGATCATAGAGTCATAGAGTGTTTCCTCAGGGCAGTGCTCCGCAAAACCCACGAACGTGCTCCGTGGACTCCGACCGCCCAGGACTTGGTTGGAGTCCAAGGGCGAACGCTACCCTGTGAAGCCGTTGGAGCTCAGAAAGCAGAGAAAGCTCGGAGAAGGAGGGGGGGCTTGGTGTGTTCAGTGTATGCGTAATTCTTAGAGAAAAAGGGACATGACATGGTTGTGGTTTAAAGGATGAATCAGATGAATGACTTCAGCACGGAGTTTTAATATGAAGCATGTCCATGTGTTGTTTCTGTTGATCAGTCAAACCAGTTAAGTGAAAGGCCATGGTCGTTGACCTTTGACCAGTAGGTTTGTAGCATTGAATGATACTATATTGTATTCGTTCCCGAAAGGAGCCCCTCTGATATGAGTAGTGTGGAGGCAAAGGTGGTTCTCTATTGGCAGGGTGACCAATCATTATATGAGGAAACTATCCTGCACCAACCACCTTCACACCAGAATGGCACCATGTAACACCTACAAAATGCTTTTGGAGCATTGTCTTCAATTGCATTGGGCAGGTTGCGGGAGATGGGTCACCTCCACTGTCCAATGTCTTCAGACTAGGTCTTGGACCAAGCCTCACTCCAGTCCCACCTCACTTCCCATGGAACCAAGTGGTGGTCTCGAGGGTTTCTGGTTGCTGGCCCAACCGAGCGGGCAACCACTAGCACAGTGCCAAGCACGTCAAAATATATCTCCAAATGCCAGAAAGGGATGGAAAGGAGGTGCGAACCACTCAACGAATTTGGTTCCCTCTTCTACGTAGCTTCTTGCTCCTCATCCACAATTGCTGGAAGAACCTGCCAAAAAACGAGTGTAAACATAGATATATAATAAACATCGCTGGTGGTGCTTTTTTATCCGGCTTTCTGAAGTCCTTTTCTTCTTCAATAAGTTGGTGCTTTTCTCATCCCAATTTGCTTCCCCTTTGGTTGGGCTCGCTGTGGGATTCGCTCTGCATCCCCCGAGGTCCGAGCTCTATGCCGAGCGGCTCCAGGAGTTCGCTGAAGAGCATGGCCGGGAGAAGGAGTGGAGAGCAATCCTTCGAGCACGGACGGAAGAATTCCCTTTCAGGATCCGCAGAGTGTTTTGATTCACCTAAGTCAGATCCTGACACACCTGCTGGTTTGAGGCATGTGTTCTTTCTAGTTTTTAGTTGGGGGGTTAGCTGAGGAGGTGCATCCTATCTTGAGCGCCAGTAGAGTGGTGTCCCAATATTGCATGGAGGGCAAGGGCCATCAATGAAGAAGCCGTCATCCATCAAACTTCCAACTAGCGGAACTAGCGCCGTCCATCTCCGGAGCGCTGCCACCACACCTGCGCTCCGCACGCGTCCTCCGGGCCGCCGTCGCGCAGTACTTCTGGCGAGCGCCCACGGGAGGCATCGGATGACGCGGAGTGCGGGGGAAAGGAGTCCAGGGAGGTTAAACAGTGGTGGAGAGGAAAGGATACTTTATGATTCATAACAAAGGTTCATGGCACGAAGGTTATGACTATAGCCTATAGTATAGCCTAGAATCTCCAATCTGAGTGACACTTGAAGTTGGGGTTGGAGGTGAAAACAGACAGAATGCCGTCCTGATGTGTGGTTTGTGGGCATAGCAATGACGCAAAATGGGTGTAGTGTTTATTAATGTGTGTGCATGTGCAGGTGAATGTTAAGCATGTTAAGCCATTGGACATTGAGCCAGATTTCATGTGAATTCGAGCATCAGTCTCACCCAAATGCCAAACAAGTTTGTGTTGTCCAGCTGGAGCTAGGTCCAGGTACAAGTCTTGGGGGGTCGTCGATCGCACCGTTTTCTCCTTTCTTCTTCACCCCCCCTCAGGGCTCCCAGAACAGCCTCCCGCTCAGGGCTGGCGGGCACTGTGGCACGCCTGCGTGTGCCCAGAGATACCCCGCGGCAGCAGCTCCAGGAAGGTGACACGGTGCACCGTGGCGGGGTTTACCAAAGGGCTTTCCGCCCTAGGCAACGTTGAGGGACGCTAGCCCTTTTGGCATGCGCAAAAGGGGCATTCATGCCTGGTGGTCACACTTCTAGACTAAGTGCATGGGATTGGCATGAACATCTCAAGATTTGTCCAACGCCCCTGACTACTTGGGAGGTGCTCCAAGATGATACGGTGTGATTTGATCCCATAACCATATGATTGCTATGGCCGGTAGGTCGCGATCCTACGTCGTTTTGCATGGGATCTTGCAAAAGTGAACGCAACTTTGGGGCCAAGAATAGCCTCATCCAGCAAGCATAGCATAGTTGTTCTGAGCTTGGTCGAGTGAGTGTTTCTGTGTTGCTAGCTGTTAGATACACCTAGATAACGATTTAGGAGTCTCAGCAGATACAGTACTTCTACGAATCCATTGAGTGTGAGGTTCTGGTTCTTAGAGCCGCGTTGAGGAATTCAGGTTGAGTCACTCTCTACCAGGTGCCATTATTAATCATCGATTACTGTATCCTTATCACGAGTTTCCCGCGTTGGTCGAAGCCGCCAGCGTGGAGCCTCAAAAGATCAACCTGCCAACCATGGCAGGTTGGCAGCACTACATGTCCTTGAGGACTCTCTTCGGGGTTGGTCGGCAGCGCGCCCACAAGCCTGCGCACAACTGGGGCCAGTCTTTTGAAAGAGATGGGCTTGACTTAGGGCGTGTCTCAAGAAACCAGTCAGAGGAAGATACAGGAAGGGAAAAGTCAGCAACCCAGGCATCGTCATCACTGGGCCTAAGGTTTGTATTATTGAGGGTTTTGTGAACCCATTTTGTTTGTGGCCAAACTTGCACATAATGTACCCCCCGACGTGTCCCTCACAATTGTGTAAAGCTTTGCAAGCTCACTTGTTGCAAGGTAAGGAACCCCTTGTCACTCAAGGATGACTATGTGTTATTATCTCAGTGCAAGCTGCGCAGCAAGTAATCTGACCACTTGGCTTTTCAATACTTGCGTAGAACCCCCCTGCACGGCTGATTGAGCACAACGAGAGGAGTGAGTCTTTGATTGTAGGGATGGTGCCTTGTGTGGGTGTACGCGACTGGTATATTTGAAAAACCGACTATTTCAATATCACCTCTCAACACAAACCCGACCAACAGCACAAGACCCTCCCCAAAAGAAAAGGACGTGTTCATGCAGTTTGATGTTACCTTTTTGTTGCTTCCATACAACGAGAAGATTGAACATGGTTGAACTATTGTTGGGACAGTATGACCTCTCAACACTACAAACCAAACCAGCATAAGCCCCTTCCCCCCAAAAAGGTTTAAAAAGAAAAGAGTAAAAACACACACATTACATTACGTCACCTTCCAACTCCTACATCTATACGGCTTGATCCTCCAACTCCTACATCTTATACAGCTTGATCATGGCTTGATATGGTTAAACAAAAACTCCTTCATCCTTTCGTCGCCCCCTAGGAGGATGGCCCCTTGGCGCTCCCAAGCCTGGACGGCCTTGGAAGCCATCACCGAGGCGGCGTGTCGCGCCGCTCTGCGTCGCGGAGCGGCGAACCGCGTCGCCGTGCTCGGAGAGCGGTGCACCTCGGGTGACGTGCGTTCGGGTCTGGTGGCAGGAAGTTGGTGAAAGGAATCAAGGCCTATACCGTGTAATTAGGCCTCGTCTCCATATAGGTGTTCCGTAATGGAGTGGGTTCTTTGGAGTTTGGGAAAAAGGCAGGTTGAGTTTCAGTTTCATGTGGCATCGTGTTGGGTGTTGTCCAACATGTTTTGTTTGCCACAGTCGTTAGATTTGACAAGTGGTCGACATGAACATTCAAGTCCAATCTGAAAGATCTATTGTATAGCGTCAAGCAAGTTTTGACTGACCTTAGTAGCCTTAGCAGCAGGAAGTGGATCCTTTACAAACCATATTCATCAGGACACCTCTTGGATCATGAAGGTTGAAAATCAGACGCAGGACGTAGGTCCACACTAGATACGGTAACTCAGGACCACACAGCAATTGCCATTCTTTGGCTGCGGGATCCTTGCTGTTGAAAGTAAACACCCAGCTCTTAAGAGGGAGGCACATTGTAAAACCAGGACCATAGAGGTTGTCAAGTGGACAACAGCAGAGGCGGATCCTGTTTACTTCTGGTCAGCATAGTCCTCCATGGGCAGATCTCGCCTCTGGTGACCAGTCGGGCGTGTAGCCAGGAAGAGGAACTTCAGCTCCTGCAGGCTGCGCAACATGCGGAGCATTTTGGCGCCATTTTCGGCGCAAAGGACTTCGCAGCGAGTAAAGCCCGCGAAAGCTTGGAGGAAAGTAGCAAGGCTTAATTGAATGGAAACAATACCTAAGACCAGAAGGGACAAAACGCGGTGTTTACGGTGTTTTGGTGATGCCAAAAATTGGTGCAAGGAGCTCTTGACAAACAAGGTTTGGCTTGTCAATGGCCCCAGTTTGACACTGATAATTTGCTAAATTAATGCTCTGCCAGATTTGATCCACTGACTATAGTGCGGCATGGCCGTGAAATAAGTGGATCATGTAGCAACAGCTTCGAAACCTGTTTGGGCACCACCGCAAATGCCAAGCTTCTGTTGATGGGCAAAAAACACATGATAAAAGGATGCGCAATCCGAGGGACACAGTTAGTGACATGACATGAAATGTCCATCATTCCCAGCTGTTTCAACAGTACCATGAACTCCTGCTTCAGTATGGCCCATGGCTACCCAGTTCAGAGGATGCATTCAGCCCGATTCATGTGTGAAGCAGTCCTATGCAGTCCTGCATCCTATTAAGTAGCTCATTGGTTCCACCATTTGACCGACCACTCCTGCGAGGCGGCGACCAACGAGGTGGCGCTGCTCTTGGTGATGATGCTGGCGCTCTGGACGTGCCTCGGATAGGGTCTGTTTGACCTGAACGCATCGTGTTTTTTTTTTTTCAGAACTCAGTGTCACTGGAGATCACTGGAGTGTTGGGCAAAGGTGGTGCCACCCAAGCAGTTCCCAGCTTCCAGGCTTATTGCTGAGCAAAACAGTCAAAACTTGGCAAACCTGTTGTGGGGAGGAGTGCTTCCCTTCCAAGAAAACTGAAGAGGTGCAGTCGGTTCACTTCAGTTCAGCTCGTTTCTTCCCAGCAAGGAAAAAGAATAGCTCCAAAACGCTTCGTGCCCTGCAGGGACCTGAAGCTCCTTGCAGTCTTTCCTTGCAGGTGCCTTTTCACCTTCAGTCTCCGCATGGCCCTCGCCGGTGCCTGCGCTGGGGGGTCCGGTGCCTCAGTGGCGGAAAGAGAGACTCTACGTGGGCTGCTGCCTTCGTTAAGACCGGTGTTAGGGGTATTGTGATTGGGATCTAGTGTTAGTGTTAGGGGATGTTATAGGGGTATGTTGTGTCATTTTGTGATTAGGGGTTAGGGTTCGATGGACTTTGCTGGGTTGTGGTCATCAAGCTTGAGTGCTGAACGGAAGAGCTCATGTTTACAAACCCTTCAGTGTCTTGCAAATCATGTGCAACACGAAAAACTCAGACAAGATGGGGTTGCTGGTCATGGAAGATGGAGGTTCATATATATATATATATAGGTTCACGAGGCTCAAGGCATTTGAGGATTCCTTGACTTTTGCGTTCGGAACCCGCTTGTCTCAGGTTCGGCATCCTCATGTTCTTCCTTTGCCAACCTTTTGGGCCCCAGGCCCTCGAACGGACCGGTGGTGGGAACATGTGTGTGACGCAGTGCCTTGGGTGAAAGAGATCCAACAAGAGGGTTGCTGAAGTGTTCATTTCCAGTAGCTCCAACAGCTGCGGCGTACACGACTACACCACCGCTTTACTGCAGCTGCATAGGTGCACCACGAGTTTCAGATGCTGAGGGACTGAAGGAGCTTCCGACAGAGAAGGCAGAGCCGATCACCAGGTACTTGATTGACGGAACAGGCAGAGCCGAGCGCAGCAGCACACACCCACCGTCATCATAGAGAAGGTAGAGCCTGTTCCGCGCTACACCACGCTCACTTGGCCGGTGTATCATCGAAAGACACAGCAAGAGAGAGTTGGACCTGTAAGATGGATGAGTCGTGAGTCGTGACTATATATAGATCGTTGCATCAGCTGTGGGCAACTATAACACTATGGTGATCTTCATGGAAGAGCATGGAGCATTGTTGGCGGCCGCACTAATGAAGATGCCTGGGAGTGATATCATGTTCACCTTCTGTCAGAGACAAGGTGCAATTATCATTAACCAGTACGATGAGTACAATGAGCCCACAAGTTTTTGCAGAGCTCTTCATTTGGATGAGTTGACATGACTAGTTATTGGTGTTCAGCACAATGGTATTGAGCACATTGATACAACTGGTATTGACCATGAGCGCAACATCATTGATACCATTGACTAGTCAGCTCAATCCTACACTGGATACGTCATTTCCAGCGAGACGTCAGCGGTCAAGGAGTCACCCGACTACAGCTATCGCGGCCATAGCACCACCTATGAGTGAGTTAGGCAAGTGAAACCCAGCCCTCCTAAGTGAGTGAAGATGAGTACACCAATACCTTTTTGTGGTTTAACCAGGGCATGAAATCCTAAACATCTAGCAGAAAAAGCTTAATATCATTTACTACATATCCATTTATACAGTGCCAATGTTTCAAATGATGCTTTTTGTCCAAGCGAGTAGAGCACCTCGTGCACCTCAGTCGGCGGCCCTGCAGCTGCTGTGCCTCTTGCTGCTGGTGACCACCCTGGTCGGTGGGCTCAGTCGTTACGGACAAGTGTTTGGTTGAGGTTCTGGTTCCTTTAAGCGCACCTTTAGGAGGAAGGCCCTGAGGAGTTTCCAAGACTTGTGCCTGTCTTTCATTTGTTTGTATAAGCAAGATGTGTTCCTGGTGCCTCATTGGGGTGCTGCCCTGTGCCTTTCTTCTGTTGGAAGGAGTATTGCAAGCATGGAGCTGTCGGGAAGCAGACAGTCTAGGTTAGCCAGTTCCATGTGGTTGTTCTCGAATTTGCCTCGATACCTTCAGGCTGAAAGGTTTTAATGCTTTGCACACAGTCCTTGGACCTGGCTTGCAATACACAGCAAGCAGAAGAGTTGTGCAATCCTGGGATGAAGATAGGATTGTCATGGAGATGTACCAACGGAATAAGTAACCTTTCTTTTTGCATGCTGGTACCAATCGAACGAGTCATCCTGCTTTAGCACCACATGTACCGCATCATACCTTCAGGTCCACCCGGTGCCACCACAGAGTTTGAGGAGATCCACATGTTCCAAAGGGGTGCCTGTTGGAGGATAGAGATGCCCAGAAGATCCGCTCACTTGGTAACTTAAAAACCACCCCCTTTGTGATCCTGGCACAGTGATATTGCTTTGCCCAACCGGGCAGACCAGGGAAATCCCAATGAGGATGGGTTGACGACCTCCCTTGTGCAGGTTACGAACGTGAGACACGAATCGCTTTAAGAGAAATGGATCCTTTCGACGCTCAAGAACAGTTTTTATTGTGTTAGAAGCTTAAATAATCTTTAGGTTTTATGTTTTATAGGTGTTTCACGGTGGTTTTCAGGCAAGAGAAGCATTGGTCTCTCCACGCAAATTGCTGCAGTTCCCTAGGTCGCGCCGGCTTCGCGCTTTCTCTTCTTCTACAGTGGCGCACGCAACGGCCGGGGCGTCCCACGCAGTGCAGCTGTAGCCGATGGAAGCAAGTCAAACAGATCTAACATGGTGGCTGGTTTAGCTGCTTGCACAGGAAGCAGTTAGCCTTATAGCCGGCCTTAGCAAACAATCTACAGCCAAACAGTTCAACGGACTTTACTGTGTAGTGGTTTGGTCCAACATGCTCACAGCAGCAGCCAAACTCTGCACCGTTCGCCAGCTTTTTGGTTGCTTTGCTTGCGCTCCAGGTCCCAGCAAGCGCGTGAAGAACGAGAAGAGCACCTCCTTCGAGATAGAGGAGAGCGCATTGTTGAAGCTCGAAAACCTATGCAGATGGGAAGCCCGACTAGGCGCCAATTCCTCCACGCAAAGACGCGTCCAGTCTATTCTATTAAGTTTGAAGGTACACTCACTAACCTCAACCACGAATTAATCGAAGGATGTTGAGATTGTGCGTTTGAATTTGGTGGGTGGCTGGGATTTCTGATTGGACCAGAGATGAGTCGCATGTTGCGAGCAAAAGATGGAGCTGTCGATTCCCTAAAATGGGTACTGGGGCTTGGACAAAAGACCACGCAGGACATCAATTACCGCTCCAGAAACAACTACACCGACTCACTAACATGGAAGTGGAAAAGGGTCCGTTGGAAGACTACCTGTCCTCTACCAACAGGGATTTCATCAGTTCAGTTTATATTTTTGGTCGGTGTACTGACTCCTCAGATAGACCGCCACACAGCGTCCTGGTTGATTGCTCAACTGTATGTGTGTGTGTGTGTTCTTGATCGGCCTGTAGGATTAACAAGATTGAGCCTGGCCTGAGAGCCTGAGAGCTGTAACCCTGATTGTTTAATATTATGTTTAAACATGAAGCGGACCGAGTTGGGAATCATCAACAAAACTTAGACTAATATTGTTATTGTTATTTATTGCATCTCTGGTGTAATTCAAGTTTTGCATGCATCATGTCTATTCCTTCTGATCAAGTCTGCAGGAGGATGCAGCCCAAGAGCCAAAGGAAGTGCGACAGGTGCGGGGTGATCAGCATGCGTTTGCGATGCGGGCTGCAAACATGCTGGCTGGCAGAATGTGCGCTGGGATGGTTGGCGAACCTGTGAAATCCGAGGAACTTTCCTTGAGGCTCTCCGCGGAAAGGATTTTTGGGAGAAGTTAGGTTGGAAACAAAAGACATGGCCCTGTCGTTCCATTTGTGTATCTCCATATCTTCTACTCCAGTCCAGGTATTCTTCTGTTTCGGCTTGTGTATTACCCCTGAACCATGTAGTACTGGCTAGTACTCGTACCTCCTTGGTATTTGCGGGCAATCAATCTGAGCGACCCAACGCATGGCCAGTGGCTTCTGACGCCCACAGGAGGCGATACCACGGAGTCAGCCGGGGGGCCCAATGGGAGCATGGCGAGTCGATGAAGAAAACAACTGTCTTTGTATATGCCCTATATGGATCCACTGTCACCTGAAGGGTTGAGGTTTCCGTGCTTGAATGGGTCCAGGTCTGATACCTGTTTGGAATACGTTTTTGGAATTTGTCGCTTTTTGGTTCCGCGCTTGTTCTTCGTGTTGTTTTTGTTGCTCTTCGACTCTTCGAGGACGCAACGCTTCGTGAGCCTGGCCGCGGAGGATCCGCAACTGGGATCGGCGTGGGTTGTTATGAAGAGCTCCACAGTGGTGGGATGGCCAAAGAGCCGGTGGTAGGGATGTTTTCAGCACAGAGGGGCGCCTTAGTGAGGCTATCAGGGAATTTGTGAACCACTTCTTAGTGAGGTATACCGGTATATAGGCTTCAAAGATTGTCGTTGAGCCATGGGAAACAATAACGTTATGAGTAGCCATGTTTGGAAGCAATAATTTAGACAAATAAATTGTCCTGCAACTTGTTGAGGGTCAGTTGGGGGTCATTGCATACTTCAGGTGACACGACACAATATTTAGACTGTGCAGCACGGTGAGTGAAAAGTGAACTATACAAACAATATGATGGTAAAGATATGTAAAGATAAGGTGAAGCTACAGCTTCCATGACAAAGAGCCACAGATGACAAACTGAAAATGGATGGCAGTGGCTCACTCAATATCACTGGCCTTCTAAAGTTGACTGTATCACTAATGACCAACCTGACTTCACATGACTTCACAACAAGTTGAGCATTTGTGTTTGCACGTTAGTCATTGGAGGGGAGGCTGTACGAATCTCACGGAACCGAATTGGGCTCATAGGTTGGAGCCTGAGTCGTGGTCTCCAAAATCTGAACCTTTATGTGCTATCAGCAGCTGTATAGTTCTTAGCTGATCCCAACAATGCACCGGGGACACGTCGAGAGGACATTGAACACCAGACGTTGAGGTCAAGGGTCAACTGAATGTGTGGCGGTTTTGGAGCAACACAACTAAGGCAGCTGCAAAAAGAGAAGGAGGAACAACAACGACGTGCACAGGCAGCTGGTCCTCTAGAGCAGTTTATGGAAGGAATTCCAGTGACCATGAAGCAAATCAAAACTCCTCTCGTTGAGTCTGAGCTTTTGACCCCTAGTTGGCTCTTCACACAAGAGGCATCAAAGACCTCCGAGAGACTGGACCAATTTACTTGCCTTTGTAGCCTGCTTCGGCTCAGAAAATTCTGCCGCCACGTGGCTTTGCTGTGACAGATTAGCCAGCACGCAAGATCTGTCAGTTGTTTTGGGCAGAAGGAATCAATTCATCCAAAGCCTGGGTTGCTTCTAAGTCTAACCACTTGGCTGGCGGTTTGGAATACATGTTGATACATGTGTTTTGTTTAGTCACTATATATGCTCACTGAAATGGTGGTTGTCCATCCTAGTCACTGCACTATCGCACTCAGTAGTGGTGTGGAATGGTAAGCTACACCTTGTATCCCAATGATGTTGTTGCATTATGGAATGGCCTAAACAACTGATCACTTAGCAAGCAGTTCCTATCCTCATGCTGCCGGCGGATTTGCTGCCAAAGGTGCTCGCCTTCGCGCCGTTAGATCTGCCAATCCTGTCGTCCGTGAGGGCGGTGAGCCGAGGCGCCAAAGGATGTGTCGAAGCTCAATGGTGGAAGGACAAGGCGAAGTATTTCAAAGCCTTTGTGGATGAACATGCCAATCTATTTGCGGATGATCCAGAGATGGAGGAAGAAGAGGAAGATCATCCAGAGATGGAGGAAGAACATGAAGATATGACCATTGAAGAGCAGCAAGAAGCGTTTGCTCGGAACATCTTACTCTGGGTAAAGCCACTCCTGGTGAATCAGCCATGGAGGCTTGAAGATCCTGCTGATGGTGCCGCAGACGAGGTTACCCCGCAAGTGGCATATATGAATCTGAGAAGAGCACTTGTGAACTTGAGTCGCTCCGAGTTGCCTGATTCATTTTTTGTTGCTGCTCGATGCGTTTTTGACCTATGCACCAAACAAAGCCTCCATGTCAGGATATTTCTGTTCATGATAGCAAACTCAGACCTCCACGACAACCAGATAAAGACTTCAATCGGACCAACTCCATGCGCCTTGTAAAATCGGATTGTAATACAGTGTACCCCAAATCCCAAGCGGAACGGAACCTCACAGCTAAAATTACTTTGCAGTCCAGCATTGTTTTTCTGGTTGAGAAAACATATCCCTCATTTGAGTGCGGCCTGGACGGTCTCAACCAAACGCGGGGATGTCCTTTTTCTGGAAGGCTTATCAGCATTGTTACAACGGGCGTTGTAGGTTTCCTCTTCCTTCTGAATCCAAGCGTTTGCCTTGCATCTCACTACCAGAAAGCCTTTCACCAATCCGTCCCGATCAGGTTCAATGCTCCCTGTGCGGTGAAACAGTTGTCTTGCATTTTTTGGGGGGCGTAAATAATTTGTCTACCAGTTCAACAACCCTCAATTGATCGCAGATCCAAGGTGAGAGGCGGAACGATGTGCTGCGAGATATTTGCCAACAGGCGCGCCACATTGAGAACTATCATTTGAGCAATGGGCACACAATACATGCCAGGATTTCACAGGCCGATCGCAGGCAGATGGAAGAACCCATTCCATCTACGTATGTCAACCTTGAGACGAGCGAGATCAGAAGTGAAGATGCGATGTCTGGATCCTTTGTTCACACTGAAATGACCAGAGACGCTCTATCTGTGAGTGCCCACACGCAAATCACCAGTGAAGACAATCCCAGGCAGGAACTGATGAACCTTTTGAGGTGGCATGTGCGCGATGAGGACCAGGCTTGGGAATTGCTGGAAGAAATGGTGCGGCGAGGGTATGTTGTTGCCCCGACACCAATAGAGTGCAGGTCTGAGAACCATGAGTTGGTAGACCAACCGGAGGAGATTCCCCAAGACTGTCCGAATGCTTTTCCAGCCCCAGCGGTAGACCAATTAGAGCTGATTCCGCAAGACCCAGCGGCAGACAGTAGGGAAGCCAGTCCACAAGCTCTTCCAGATGCAGCAGTGGACCCAGCAGAGGAAATTCTCCAAGCTGGTCCAAGCCCTCTTCCGGCTACAGTGGCAAACCAACCGGAGCAAATTACGGAATGCAGTCCACAATCTCTTCCAGCACCAGCGGCAGACCAAGCGAAGGAGATTCAACAAGACGGTCTGAGCCCTTTTCCGGCTCCAGTGGGAAACCAACCAGAGGAAATTGCGGAACATAGTCCGCAAGCTCTTCCAGATGCAGCAGTGGCTCCAGCAGAGGAAATTCCCCAAGCTGGTCCAAGCCCTCTTCCGGCTACAGTGGCAAACCAACCGGAGGAAATTGCGGACCTATACAGTCCACAAGCTCTTCCAGCACCATCGGCAGATCAGGTGGAGAAGATTCCACAAGACGGTCCGAGCCCGATTCTGGCTTCACCAGCGGACCAACCAGAGGAAATTGCGGAATGCAGTCCACTAGCTCTTCGAACACCAGTGGTAGACCAGCCAGAGCACACTTGGGGAGGCCGACCACACGCTCTTCCAGCAGAGATTCTGCAAGGCGGTCGGAAAGCTTTTTCAACCCGCGCGGATATCCGACCAGAAGCTGACCAAGCCTTGCATTTGGCAGGCCAGTTTAGTCAGTTGTCCTTTGTCTTGGCGCTGCCCCTATTGCTCAAGAAGAAAGCAAAAACATATGCTTGCGAAACAATGCTGCATTTTGCGTCTCAGAAGGGACACCGGTCAGCGGTATGTTGGTTGCTTAACGCAGGAGCTAACACCGAAGCTACTACAGCAGCTGGCAA